CCCTCAACCCCTCAAGCATGAATAAGGTGTTTCTACTTGGCCTAGGTGAACGTTCTGACCCATTCGAAAGCAGGAACCTCGAAGCCAGCGACTTCGCTCCGGGAGAAGCCCTCGCGCTGTGCCAGGAGGGTCATCACCTGGGATACAAGGGCGTTTACGACATTGGGGGTCCTTTCTTGGGGTCCTTACTGTAAGGGGATCCTACTATTTGGGGGCCTATCTTGGGGATCCCCTATTTTCGTAAACCCCCACAACATGTTCGGAGATGCGTGGGCTTTCTGCGGGTGCTGCAAGGGCTTCCGGGCCTTGAACTTCCGAACTTCCCTCAAAGTCGGCACGGCGTGGGGGTTTAGGCTTTAACTCGGTGTCTGCCTCGAAGCTTAGGGCTTCAATTTTGCAGCTAAGGTTTTCCCGGCAAGTATTCCAGGGCATGCAGGGGCAGTGACGCTCTGGCATTCAAATCCCCCTTCTGCTGCGCGCATGACTAGAGTTTGGGGCCGAGCGGGGCCCAAAGGAAGCACGGAAACTTACCAGAGGCAAACACAGGCCAGAGGGGGGCTCTCTTACAAGTGATGAGGGGGGGGGACTGGAGCATACATAATAGTCTACCTCTCAAGGTGCTTGAGTCATGGAACTTCATGAGTGCAGAAGTCATGCCTACCACTACTTTGTGAGGGCGGCGCAGACCCCAAGGTGCTTCGTACTCACTCTCAAAAATGACCTGGCCTTGTAGAACTCATCGAAATCTAGCTCTCGGGACTGGTCCTGGCCAGGGGTTGAGTCCATGCGTCCATGCTGCCCCGGAAAGCAAACAGGAGCGTGTTGGGGCGTTGGCTTTGGTGTGCTATGGTATGCTCGTAGCAGCTTGGCGCCCAGGAAACTCCTACATGCAGTAAACTTCACCGAGCACGAAGGAGCGTCTCGCAGGCTTTGCCTCAAGGTTCAAGGTTCAGTGGCCTCGTCCACTTCTGCGATGCACTCCTCGAGCACATGTTTCCTGAGTTCAGTGCCCCCTTGTGCCTTTGAAGCTGGAGCTACACAACACCTGGACTCCCGAGAAGTTGCTCTTGGCAAAAGCCCTTGTTTTCTGAGCGATGGCCCTTAACAACAGTCGAAGTGCAGTTTTCCCACAAGTTCGGAGGCTAAACTAGGCTCACGGTGCCATCGCAGGCTCCTCTCGCATGAAGCACCTTCGTCTCGCCCCAAACACACCGAAACCATGACAAGTCTCATGGGCTCAATGCCGATGGACCGGAGGAACTCCCCAAACTCGTCAGCATCCATCCTCAGCATGAAGCAATGCAGGACAAAAACTGGGCTGCTGGCGCAAAATCTCTGCTTCTTTCAAGCTCCGTCCTGCTTGTTACATCTTGTGGCATCTTAAGTCTTGAGGCTGTTGATGTGCAGCCCTCATCCGTATGACCCCTGTGTCATCCAATTCTCACGAGGCCGGACTGACTTCTTGTCTCAGTGAAGTGCTGTGCCATGTCCGAAGGCTACCTAGCAGGGCGTGCGGAAGCTAAAGTCGACCGTAGAAGGACGAAACCCAACCCACTTTGTGTTGCCCTTTTGGCTGGCATCTGTCTCCAGGACCGGGTGTGGAGATCCCCCCGGGGGGCTTGCTGACAGAAGCTCAGGTTGAGTAGCTCGTGGGTTCAGGCATCAAACTAGTCGAGTAGGTGGTCGTAGCTCAGAGAAACCCCTATTTCAGGGAACCATCTGGTCTTGCTAGTTGTGTTTTCAGATCATGCTTCGAAGCATCCTCTCTCACAATCGTGTCTTGTGATGTCATCCTTTCTGTGCTTGCTACCCCTTGTTCCTGTAGCAACTATCTGTCGATGACAAGCCGCCCGAGGGAAAAATAGAAGAGGTCTTGAGATGCCAGGCTTGTCAGAGACACGCCAAAGAAACATCTTCTGGCTCAACGGCTTCTTTCCCTCTGCCGGTGCTTGAGTAGAGGCAAGAGGATAAATCCTCACCTTTCTTTTGCGTCTCTCCGACAACCAACCCTTCCGGCAGAAACCTCGTGGACCTCGAATTCAAAGGCCCGGCTGTTGTGTCTCGGCTTGGCGGCCTCAGACGGCCAGACGAATCCGCCTGGAGTGCTTGAAACGATTGATGGCGCTCCCCAACCTTCCCAACCCCCCCGCTTCCTGCCTACCACGACTGCAGGTTGCCCAAGATGTGCGAGGACACGTGTAAATGCTGGCCATTGCATCACATGTCAGAAACAGATCCTACCTTGTACTTCAAACAGCCAGGGCCCCGAATCCGAGCTGCCTTCGGGGTTTTGAGCTCAGCATCAGCCTTGAGCGGACTGTGCAGAACTCTTAGCGCGTTGCGGCACGTGCCATTTTGGAACAGCCTATAATCCAAAGAAACATGCCTGAATCTTGTATCAGGACCCAGGGTAACAGACGAAACCCGACAGGATCCGGTACAGTGTCTATGAATGTCTAGGATCCTTCGCGCGCGATGCTCTGCGTCCCGGCAGCGTATCAGTATCCTCTGGAGACTGACCTTGCCCCTCCTTGGGCTTTTCCATGAGACTCATGCGACACTCACGATGAAAAGCAGATCCTGCACAGGAATGCGCGGGTCGATGAGCAGACGTGTATAAACCCGGTGCTACGATATGCTATGAAGCCAAATGTATTTGCTGGCCCGGCTGCGCACCAAGACCAGATGCAGGCATCGGCCGTACTGGTCTTCGTGCGGCTCTCCCAAGTGCAGGGCTTCAGCTAATTTCGGTGACCAAATTTGGGGGCCCCATGGAGTTCGGGACTGCAGTAAGTTCTAGAAGACCACCTCAAAAGGCCCGGTGAAATTTGGGAACCGTCCCACTGGCGAATATGGATTGTCGGCGGAGGCAGAGGGCTAGAGCGGCCGCAAGATCTTCTCTTAAATCTTCACGTCATGGTCTGTGGGAAGGGCAAACTGGGCCAGTGAGAGAACAATGACAACATGGCTCTATCCCAGCGCGGGCTGAGGGGGAGTTGCGTGTAGCGGTTGAGCATCTTCGATTAATTCGATTCAGGACGCATGGATCACTTGCCGCTCTCTCCCTTGGCTTCGCCGAGCCTCCCGCATGGCGACCAACGAGCTTCAGGTGCTCGCGACTGCGATTTTTTGGGGACGTCGTCCCAGTGCACGCCCAGCGCTGCATGAGAAAAAGGGGGGGGGTGAGAGTGTAAAACTTAAGCCAAACAGCCCTTTCCTCGGTGTCCAGGCCCAAAGAAGCAGTTGCAAAGGGACTCAGACAAGGCCGCCTATGCAGCTTTATGATACAGGCCTTGCCTTTGCATGATCTCCATACACTGACATTAAACTCGCAGGTGCACGCATATAGACCAATCTTGCATCTCTTCAGCTAGCCTTCCTGTTCGGACCCGACCGCCGACGGCCAAAGAGCCATTTGCGTCCGTGAAAAGCCAAGGGAAAACAGTACGCCTGCTTTAGAAGGCGTTGCAGCACCCTTGCTAAAACGTCCTCCACATTTGAGGGTGTTGGTCTGGCTCAAGCTTTCTCTGGTTTGTAAGGCGGCTGTAGGGTCTCAGGCTTTGAGGGTGCTCTTGTGTCCTCTTCACTACGCTTCTTGTTGCAGGGCGACCTCAAAAGTTGCGCGTGGTGTGCTTCGGGAACTACATTGTAACAATGTTCTTGGACAGACTTCAAGGCCTGGCAGAAATACGATTCAATCAGCAGCTTCAAGGAATTCAGGCCCTTCATGAGCTAAGAAACATCAGACCTCACTTGCTCTTTAGTTCAGAGGGTCTCTATGGCTGGAGGTTTTTGGCAAGTTTCGTTCAAATAGGGCGGGTTCCGGGGCTCTATCGCGCAAGGGTGGTGCCAGAGGCATATGCGACACACCCAAATGGGTGGACCAGACATCGTCGTCGAGCCCAGCTGCATTAATCACCCTGGCGTCCCGAAACTGGCACTTTCATGTTTTCACGTGGATTTACGACCGAGATTCTTTGAAAGTCTTCTAAGAGAGAGCTAAGGCCAGGAAGGGTTATCTTACAGTGCCAGCGCCTCGTCATTGTGTACCTGCAGTGTTGGCTTAGGTCCAGGCATGATTTAAGATTGCTGAGCACGCTTCATGTGTAGATGGGCCTTTTGAAAGGCTGATGCTGCTCGGGGCTCGGACAACATGCCATACGACTATCTCTCTTGTTTACGATGCTGTGTACCATTTTTTTTATCATAAGGCCCAGAGGGTGCCTTGAAGTGCAATGAGATCCTAGTTTGGCTCCCAGCGAAGCGGTGAAGAATCGAGTGAAGCTCACAGCTTTTCGCAGCTTCTCTTCCTCCGATGTCCGGCTACCCTTGTGATCTGATTTACAAGCGCTCTTGGCCCATGAAGCCTTGGGAATTTGTTCTGGATCCTCATGACGATGCCTCGTTGTCATAACATGTGCGATTGATACACCAAAGCCAAGAAGCCTACGGAACTCTTGCAGTTCTTGGCCAATCGGCCACATCTCTGGGCATTTAGGCGCTTCATGGATTTGATAAGTCCCTCCGGCCCTTTTGCATCCTAGATGTAAAGTAACCGTAGCCCAGAACAGAACTCTTCCCAATCCAGAACTTGGAGTGTCGGCTTCGGACAGAGGGTGGTGCCTCTCTGCCCTGGTCAATCCTTGCTCATGGGCAAGGTGCTTGGGCCTAGTCTCGTGGAGCTATTGTTTACCGAAGCCCGGCCCGGAGAACTGCCTTCTTTCCCTTTTTTGGGGGGGGGGGGGGGGGCGGGAATCTTCTGTGATTCCACCGTGTTCCGTATCTTAAGTGTCTCGCTTCCACGCGCACGATTCATGCACCTACGCCTACGACCGGACACCGCTTCGACTGAACCGCGGTGGGATCTGAGCCTCGGGCCCGACTTATGGCCGGTTAAGCAGTTCTTCTTCATATTTCCAGTACCAGGGAAGAGAGGGAGCCACTCTCCGAGAGATGCCCGCACCATTGGTGCTGAGGCCCAGCCGCTTAGCCTCCTCTTCTCAGATGGACAGGGTTTCCTTGGTGGCGCCAAAGTGACAAACTTGTCTTGAAGGACATCCGAAAGCGTTCGGGATTCTAGGGCTGATCTTTACTTGCGCGTTCACGTGGTGCTTGGGATGTCAACGAAAAGAAGGTGATCTGCATGCGGTTGGTGGCAGAGTTTGTGCGTCCGTTTGCTTTGCTCCAGTGACATCTTCTCTGTTAAGGGGGCTGTCGTTTTCCTCCAAGTCACCGCGAATCCCAATCACGAAGCAAAGCCCAGCAGCAAAGCACCCCCCCCTCCTTCTCCCCCCTGCCCCCCCCCCCCCCCGAGAGCTGTTTCGCTAACGAGTGGCCCGCACAGAGAAGGCCAAGTTCATTTCATGAGGGGAGACCAGGCCGCTGCCATCCTGACGGGCAAAGTGGCGTTCTGTCTTGTTTTAGGGGGAGGTTGAGGGAAGTTTAGGGGCTCTCACTTCAGGGCTCGTTGCCCCTCCCGCCCCCAAGAGAGAGAGAGAGAGAGAGAGAGAGAGAGAGAGGAGAGAGAGAACGAGGAAAAACTCCACAAGCTTGACTCCTCGTCGACCAGCTTCCAAAGCAAGGGCTCCCACCTCGGGAGCAGCACAAAACAACTTCCCCCCACCCCCCCACAGCATCAAAAACATCCCCCCCCCCACCCCCCCCACCCCCCCCCCCACTCACGCACACCAGTCTCCCCATACTTATTTCCCCAAGGACAGGTCCGCAATATGCTATGTAGAAAGAGTTTGTCCTTTAAGGATGCATCGAAGCTTTGGGGGCGCGGGGTGCAAGTTAGCATAACTTAGCTGTGCGGAGTTGCAGGGTCATCTGTGTTTGGCTGTCGCTGCTGGCCCATGCACTGGTCTTCCTCTAGAAACCTCTCTTCCCCGCTCCTCTCCATCGCCCAAAACAAAATAAGCCAAGCAGAATGCAAATCCCAGCCGCTTGCTCATATTGCGCATGACAGGAAGCCCCGCCAAGAGCTGCCTTGACAGGTCAGTGAAGCTTCGCATGCCAACCCACGCATGCGTTGATGTTACACGCCTCAAGCCCTTGCGGAACTCTTCGCGGTCGATTGCACCATCGCTGTCCTCATCCAGCACCTGCTGCAAAGGCTTTGATGCGATGTGAGGTGTGAAGCCAGCTTTGGGGCTTCGGGGGGTTTCGAGGATAAGCCTCAAGACTGAGGCTGAAGAGAAGACCCAGCTATGGTCGCGAATTTCTCCATCCACTTCGCCCAACCACCACCAGCACCCCGTACAACAGTGTGGCCTGGAAGACTGCCGACGCACACCCGGTCGTGGTGGACCTGAGGGTTCTTGAATGCTCTAAACGTTGGGCGGGGAAGTCCCCCGGATGCAGGCCCCTCAAGTCGATGCCTTCATCCAGATTGTGCACAGAATCGGTGAGCAGCTCGCAACAAAACGGCGAAGAGCTAGAGTACCGTTGTCGCCACCTAGTCCCATCTGAACCAGGCCATGCGAGTGCCACCTGAAAAGTCACGCCTTACACTCTGCATTCATCCTTCAGCGAACCGTTCTGCTCATCTCGGTTTGCACAATTTGACAAACCCAGATAATGGAGGTGTGACAGGGTGACGGAGTGCGGGTGAAGAAGCTCCCAGCTGCACCAGATGCCAAAACTGTTAAAGTCTTGGATTCTTCAGAATTCTTCATATTAAGGCGATGACAGCGCACGGATGACGCCTTGCGTGGAAGCCTCGGGTCAGGGTCAGGGGGTTAAGGCGGCGATCTCGCTTAGGGATTGGAGGATTTAGGTTTTTTGGGCTTCGGGCTCTCTGAAGGGCATTGGGGGCTTGGCGAGCTGCATCATCCCTTATCCACTCAGGGCAGTATTCTGTTGTGCACAGCCTGTCGAAGACCCTGAGCTTTGAAACCCCACTGTTCTTCCTGAGTCCAGCATGGTGACGTCCCCCACATCTGTGAACCCATGCTACCAAAGTGCCAAACACTGCGAGATCTCTTCATCCGTCCATTCGGACATCTGATCTTCGATTCCTTGGCCGACATAGCAGCATGGCCGCAAGGCAACAGCCAACTCCCATATGTGTGCTCCACATGCTTCAGAGCCGTCGGAAAAAAGGCGCGTGCTCCAAAGAACCGAACCCCTTTCAGTACTTGGTTGGGGGGGCGCAGCTTGCTTTGCTTCGATCTTTCTACGCATTTCTAGACCTGGAATACACTTGAGTAGACACTTCTCGCCGTCTCGCGCTCTCGCTCTCTCTCTCTCTGTTCAACCGGCGAAGGGGGGGGGTGTGTCTATGTGGGAGGAGGAGAGAGATCCCGCGCTGTTCACTATGTCGCTGTGTGACAGAGAGAGCACAAGTCTTGAGCCCCCGTTGCCTGAGAGACATGTTTCAGCTGTTGCAGGGGCTTTGGGGCAAAAGCCAAAGGCCATAGCCTCTTGAAGCTGGGCATCCGCTTCTGCCTCGGATGGGACATGATTCACGGCTTCAACGGTCTTTCAAGCTGCATGGGGTGCGGTCGGCCCTCAGAAAAAGACCAAGATCATCAGAGGGAGCTGCAAATCTTGTTGGACCTGAATGCACCCAACCCACGGTCCAACAGTCAATCCAAGTCACGGCCGGTCTGTGGCGCCCTTGCTGGGGCCAAATGTCATACAGCTGAGCTTGAGATTGCGTTCTGAAGTCAAACTCTCTAGCTTCAGGCGCTTACTGTGTTCGTAGGTTTCGGTTTTTGGGGGCGCTCGCCAACTCCGAGTGCAGGCGCCTGAGCTACATGTTCACATTGCACCGAACATCTCGGAACCCGGGGCGGCAGCACATGGGGCCCAACGACTTAAAAGAACCGGAGCTTGAACTTCACCGAAACGTGCCACCACAGCACCCCTAGTGGTCCGATCGTATTCCTTGCAATGCAAAGTGCATCAACCTCGGGCGCGGGAAGGGCGCGGGAAGAGAATATTTACAATATTCAAGGCAGAGGCACGCTCCAGGCTTTCCTTCGAAGCTCTCCATCGAGAAAGATGTTTCCTTGGAATCGGCCAATCCCTCCACTGGGGCCACAAGGGGCAGCTGTGGGGGCAGGACGGCTTCGCCCGGAAGGCTCATAGGATCTTCCTGGTATGGGGATATAGCCTGGATAGCTGCTTAGGGTTGCTTTTGCAGAGGGCATGACGCTGCAACTAGCAGCTGAGAGAGCGGCCACAAGCGACTCGCCGGTCAAGAAGCCCATCATCGAGCTCACGAACTCCTGGATGTAGATTCAAGTAGCTTTGTTAAGGGCTTGTACGGGTATCCGTTATAGAGACGGCCCTACTTTCGGAAATTTTAAAGTCATTTCGAGCAACTGCCATGCACTCAGAGGGCTGACGGTTGAGATCCAGCTAAAAGCCAAAGCAGAAGCCGGTGCCTCGCGGTCCACGAAGCCAGTCTTGTCACGGTCCATGATCTAAGAAGGCGAGGCAGGCGCGTGGTGTACGTCTTCAGGGCTTTTGGGGGAGCTCTGCATGGCTCACTCACAGCTTTCAGCATAGCGACAGGACTGGTCATTCGCATGCTGACAGCTTGACTTGGCACGCATAAACTTCGTGCCATGGGAATGGAAGGATGCCACGATTCTTGACGAAAACGAATTACTTGACATGGAGTAAGGCATGGATTGCGTCAAGCAGTGCTCCCAGTCATCGGGTCAGCTCATGGGTCACACCATAATGAAGGTTTAGAGACCTGACAAGAACCCTGATCCTTGTAGGGGAAGTGCAGATACTATTGCCAGAAGACGACTCAGAATGGAAGAGGCCATGAAACCCTTAAAGCAGCTTGTCGCGCTCTTCACAGTCCATTGCGAGGCTCAGTTGGCAAAGTTGTCCAGAGACAATTGCAGACGAGGGACGCACAGGAGGCCTGGGAGGAGTAGCATTGCGTCAGGTTCGTGGAGTATTCAGTATGGGTCAGAGCTTTTGGATGCTTCCGGGACTGCGCATCTCGGCTTTCTGCAAGTTTTTCGAAACCGCCTCAGAACTGCCCAAAGGCCAGGTTGGTCTTCGGCTGGAAGCGAATACGGTTCCGATGTGAGGAGCATTGTAACGAGGCTTCGGTGCCGAGCTGCTGTAGATGTGATCCTCCATTGTGATCCTCAGTTGCGGCCCATGGACAACTGTGCGGCCTGCAGGAGTTGCACAAGCCCGGTCTTCAGTCTGCCTGACAACACTTGCACCAGTGCTGCACAGTATCTTGTCCGTGTCGTCGTTGAAGCCACCTGAGTCTGTCGCTGTGCCGCTTTGCGCTGTGCTCAAAACTTTGTGGTCTTGGAGACGCTGCCGCATCTACTACAGTTGGTTAAACTCATTACACTGTCAGTACACGCCGTCCCGAACAAAAGGTTCCATGGACAAGCCGCTGCTGGCACTGCGCAAGATCGGCCGCAGCTCCTGGTACGAGAGCCTGCCGTCTCCTCGGTGCAGGCTTAAGCTCGCGTTCAGGTTTTGTGGTGTATACTGCATTAGACTGCCAAATCTTGAGCTTGATGCTCTCGACCACAAGCCGCATACCCCCAGTTCAGAAACCGCCTCTGCCCGCGCGGAAGAAAACAAACATCCATGCACACATTTTGAAAAGAGAGAAGCCAGCAGAATACGAGGTCGCTACGATACTGTGGAAGATCCATGAAGCAACGGCAAGCCCTTCACGCTAGGCACCCCAAACCCGAAGTGAACCAGCTGGGCAACCGTTGCGGTCGACAGTGTTCCAGGCAGCCTCCGGAGCAGTGCCAATGGGAAGTGGGGGGCACTAGGACTCGCTCTTTGGGGTGTAAGCTGGGCCTGGACAACGATTCTGCCATGCTTTTGCATTTTGTACTGGTGGTGAGCAACCATGTGCAGAGGTTGTTAAAAATCACTGTACGGCACCAAATAATCACAGAGACTTGTAGGTACGTGCATGTACTCAATTTTGTAACATGAATAGTGGTTGCTGTTCTTCTTATTCTCGCATGGGCTGTATGGGAGGAGTGTATCTCGCTGCAGCCACACGCCCGCATGGCTGATGAGCATGGCCATGAGCCATGTATCTGTTGGGGGGGGCAGGGTCTCCGCCTCGATGTCGGCCTTGGTCTTCACGCCTGGCAGGATGCTCATCATGGAGCCTGCGGGACAGAAGTCATGGCTGGCAGTGGGACCTTGTCATGAGGATCTTGAGGGCTGTGCCAAGCTCAACAGCAGCGTCGATCGAAGCCATGTGAGACTCGTTTCGCTACCGGACAGTCCAAACAGTTTACGACTGTTACGACAAAATCGCATGCTCCGGCAGGAAGGCCTCCATAGAACCTTGACGCCAGCTTTCTGGCTAAAGAGTTCCTCTCAGGACCAAGGGCTGGGTGGTTTGCCAGCATCCCAACGAACTCCCTCAATGTCACTGTCCCGAAATGTCCCTAGGCCCTAATCCTAACCTTACTAACGCAGTTAAGCACCCGCTCAAGCCCCGTATCAGTTTCCCCGAGAGCCCTACCCCGGTCCCATACTGGCTGAGGAAGACGGCGTAGTTGAACTCCAAGTCCAAGGACTTCCTCTGGCACTGCCACTCCCTCCCCGCCCCCGCGAAAGGGGATTATTTGGGTCGGCGTGCTGGTCAGGGTATCGTCGTCGAGCTGCACAGGGAGACCATAGTATGGCTGCACTACGATCGAGCCACAGAAAATCCAAGGGACGCGGCCAGGTCCCAAGGAAAAACAAACAGAGATCATCGCAGGCAAGCTGCAGCATGTAGGGCTCCAGCCATTCCTTCGCCAATATATCTTTGCTGTATGAGGTTCCATGCGAGCTGGGATTGCATCCGAGGCAGGATTCTTCTCAAGCCAGAGCACGGCTTAAGCCCTCTAAGATGATCCTTACCGTGGACCTGACTGGACCCCAGTGTCCCAAGGGAAGTCGTCGTCGGCGATGACGCAAGCACGCATGCCACGAGCCTGGGCTTCAAGCGTGACTTGGCTTGGGTGTAAGATGATCGCCACGAAGCTCCCCAGAAAACATCCTCATTTCTTTGGAATGTTTGGAACCTGGGTGCTATATGCTGCCAGAACCCATGGACAGCTGCATAGACATGCCAGCTGCATGAGCCTCCCTCAAGCTGGGTCTCCACTTCAACACCTGACCATGTGCTTGTCCTGATGTGAAATGCTGAGATCCTGGCCCAGTGTTCTCTGCTGAGCACACCACCAGCCTGCCGGTGGCTCCACATCTTATTCGGGAGGTCGTAGAGTATTTCTTTGCTGGCCAGTGCCATTTCCGGCAGAATGCTCCGAATGCCTCTCCCTTCTGAGTCAGTGCACTGGTGGAACTCTAAAAGCCCTTTTGTCCTGAGCCGGCCTCGGTGTCGATGGCCTGCCAATATCCCAGGAGCCTTGAGTCGAGTGAGCGAGAGGGAAAGAGGGACAGAGGGGGAGAGAGGGAGAGGGAAAGAGGGAGAGATGGGGGAGAGGGGGAGAGGGAGAGAGGGAGGGACAGAGAGGGAGAGCAGAGAGAGAGAGGGAGAGAGGGAGGCAGAGAGGGAGAGCAGAGAGAGAGAGGGACAGATGCTGCCAATGACTCGCCAGAAGGCGCTGTAGACCCTTCTGCTACCAACCCAGATCCCGGATTTCTACCTCTGCTGTCAAGAGGCTGTGGCCGCACACCTGGGGAAGGTTTCCAAGTACGTTTGAATGATTTGCGGCTGAAAGTCAAAACCGAGTGTCTGGGCCTGGGCCTTCAGGTGTACTAGCAGTGCCGCACTCCTGAAAGTCCGGAAGCACTGACTGGGCAGCAGGTGAAGCCACGCTGCAGTACGTGAGCTCCCGGAGCTTCGCTAGTGCCCTGGCCGGCGCACAAGGATAGGGTCGACGATGCAACTCTTCATTGTCTTTTCAAGCTTCGGTAAGGTACATCCGCTCATCCACCAAACTTTCGCCATGGTAACACTCTCATTGGTTTTGCTGGGGGGGGCGAACCCTCTCTCTATACATCTTGGCCAGACCCTTCTTTCGGCGCCAGAACGAAACGCCACACAACCCAGGTCCAACTGATGTCTCGCAAGACCTCCACCCTGAATCCGTGCACCAAGTGTAACTCCCACAGATGCCAAAGCACGACTCATTACTCGAAATCCGTGCAGCTCCAGATGCCTCGCCCGTGGTCCGAGTGTGAGGGCTGCCTTGCGAATTGCGCATCAAGGGCATCACGCGGCACTGGTCGAGTATTCTTGTGCGCAGAGTTCAAGGGCTTGGGGTTCTCACATATCTCGTGGTGAAGCAGTGTGCAAAACCTTCCTAAAATGAAATGACAGCTCCCGAGTCTTGAGAAAGTTGCTGAGGCGTTAAAAAAGCCCCAGAACCTTAGCACTCAGGCAAGGAAGTTGAGACTGCTCTGAAGAGCTTAGCATACAAGATGGGTCAGACTCTACCTCCATAGAAAACACCTCCCGCAAACGTGCAAATGCTTTGCGGACTCAGTATGTCGAGCGTTCAATGCCGGTAAAACCCTGCCAATACTCCGCAAATGCAACTGAATTCCCATTCGCTTCACGAGCTGGTCGAACCGAAGCCGGCTCGAATACATTTTCTCCCGCCTGAGCTTCTTGGAACTTGTTCTTCATCTCCTGCACGGAACGCTGAACCCTGCTTGGGGACATGTAGGGAAACACCTAAGGTTGCGGGATGCTCATCTACGGGGCCGTCATTTGCGCAGCACAGTGTTGTGTGCCACCCGCGCGACATGTACCTTTATGATAAGAAACGCCCGTCAAAATGTCCCGGCGAACCATTGAGGGATGGCCCTTCCATGTACCGAAGCAAGCTTAAAGTTAACTCTAAAGTTCGCGGGGCGCCTCGGAAACCTTGCTATTGGACATGAGGCCTTCCTGGGCAGGTCGAGGAGTCATCGTTGAGATGTCTTGGGGGTTGCGGCTTTAGGCATCTAAAGGGGTCTTCGTGGACTCCTATACTCCTGTGGAGTTGTTGAGTGGCTTCCCTGTAGGTTCTGGCATGATCCAATGGCGAGCTGCAAGGGCTCCAATTGCAGATTCGAGCGCGCTTTGTGGAGTGTCAGAGGCTCGCGTTCGGTCAGTTAGGCTCTATGATGGTCCCCGTTTAAGTTTGGTTACGGTGTGTTCACTCAGCAGAAAACTCTTGGCGCCCTTCCGCGGAAACTCATGATGTCCGCTACACAGTATCTCAGCTGGAGCGGACAAAAAGTACACGGCTCGTGTGGGCTTATGTGGTCTTTATTGACCTTCCCATTGCAAACTTCCTACGCCAATGAAGCTGCAAATACTAGGCCATACCAGTATCCAAGGCTCTGTGAAGCCCACGCGCCATGCGGGCCAAGAAACCAGAGACGAAGCCAGGCTACCTGAGTGGAGGTCCTCTCATTTCTGCTCTCATTTGCCTTCTCGGCCTAGCGAGGGGAGTTCTCCGAATTTCGAAGGAAACCCCAAACCCTAAGCCCTAAACCCTAAACCCTAACCCGAAGCCCTAAATCGGGGCGTTTTTTTGCAGGACAAACTTTCTGAGGCGTTGGGTCGCAAGGCTCGGGCTCCATGTGCAGATCAAGAGACCGGCTTCTTTGGGCTCCATGACCACCTCAGCTGCAGGGCTGTGACAGGTCTGAAAGGCCTTTTCCATCTTGGGTCCCCACAAGGATGGGGAGCACAACCTTTCTCAGGAGCAGCTGAGTTGGGCAAAAAAATGCGACAAGGGCCACTGTGCACATATGTGAGAGTTCTGTCTCCTGCGGGCGGGGACGCGTACTGAACACAACATTGTGCGCCAAGCAACTCAGGACGAAACCCACAAAAAGGAGAACCGACGTGCCAACGACTGACACCCTGAAATCTGCACAAGCCCACGCCGCTACAAACCAGCTTTTGCCGGCCTTGAACGAGCCCATAACACAACAGTGACCACGGTGACTACAGTGATGGTCAGTGACTACCTCAGTGACAGTCCCAGGAGCCACAGCTGCCTTGTTGCCCATGGGCTCGCCGGCTCCTGGCGCGGTGTTGTCTCCAAGGGGTTGCGGCAACTCGGGACATTCCGTCAGTGTCATGTGCAACTTCGCACAATGGGCAGTCATCCGGCTGTTAGGGGCTTGCTGAGGCTGACTGGCAGGTCTAGACTCTGTTCATAGGTTGGGGCGAAAACTCAGCGTGGAACAGATTTACTGCTGCAGCGCACTGCACAAAAGGCATATGGCCGTAGTTTCCATTCGCCCGTCGTACCTCGCGGATAGTTGCTGGCGGAGAAGACCGTCGCTGCGATCATGTGCCTGGCGCCATGGGCATGTTCGATTGCTCCGAGAAGGATTCTGAATCAAAGGACGTGGCCCAATTCTGATAAGCTGCCCTTTGCCATTCTGGTGCTCGATGGAAAAGCCTGATTGCAAGACAGCAGTGCGGCCATGCACGATTCCCAATGGTTTGCGTTGAAACCCCAGCTCTGCACTGTGTAGCAACTTGGTCCTACATGGCCGAAGAACGTGAAGTCACCGTAGGGTGAGTGCACTTCCTGTTAGCTGCCTTTCACCATCGAACCGCCTCATAGAACTACCTCAAGCGGCCTCCCTTCATTCCAAGTGTTTGTCGACGAAATTGCGTGAACTTAAGAACTGGGATTTTTGGATCTCGGGCTGCTACCATGATGAAATCGTGGGGTGCTTGACGCCTGCATATACTTGAGCATGTAGGATAACAGGACAGCTATTGGGACGAGACGGATATCATATTGTCGTTGTTGTTGGTGTAGGTCAATGAAAATAACTAGCCCTAGGAACAACATGACAAGCTAGCCCGGCGCATCAAGCCGAGTACAACTAGCCCTAAGTACACATTAGCCCGACCCCCGATATACTGCCCTGCAATCCCTTCCGGCACTACTGGCCATTAAAGCAACTTGACTTTCAAACTTTCAAAATGAAATGGTAGTCGTCTTCCAATGCTGTTATCCAACATCTACGAATTATTTGCATTTTTAACTTGAGGGTCTTTTTGAATACGAATTCACAGCGACCCCTAATTGCTCATTAGCAAGGGCATGATTCCATAAGGTCTGTTCCAGTTTGTAAGCTACAAGGCGTTGTTACTGTAATTCCATGAATGTACCTAGCCCTAGATACAAAGTGAAACAAGCCCCGATATTCACAATTCTGGCGCATTGGTTGTCCCAGCAGCTCTGTCCTTCGTTCTCTTCTGGCGTTCCCTGCCACTGCAATAATATGACCCTTGACCTCCAGGTATGTTAATGCAACAATCCGGATTGCTAGCATTGCTTGACTTGAGGTGGGGGGACTCATATGAGTAAGTGTCTTTCTCTGTAAGTTCTAAGTTGTACATTTCGTGCAATATGTATTTCTATACAGCACAACATCTGCGGGACAGGCGTATTGGATTGAGTGTCTAGTTCGTTAATTGATGTCAGTAACAAATGGCCTCGAGCATAAATTTATTGACAGCACAGAACGCATGGAGCGATAGCGCTAATCATTTTAGTTCACTCCAAAGCTACCAAGCAAAACAGCTTAAAGAGGTTTCGTAAACAAATTGGAGGCCAGTTAAAAATAGCAGGCACGCTTATAGTACTTTTTCCCGCCAACTTAATCTCAAAGACACAAAATTGCCAAGCCGTCCCTCATTCTCCTCACATCTTCCCGGCCGTCAAAGTAGCATTCAAGAATTATAGTTGAAACTCATTTTTAGTAAGACCAACTCAGAATGATTCATGCTTACTTTTTGAACTTTCTAATTCGTAAAAAGAATCACCTTGAACACGCTATCCATGTGATGCATTTACATGAAAATTAACCTCACAGCTTTCCACTTTGCACTTTTTTTTGGGCCTATGCTCCAAGTTGTACAGCTGGAAACCGCTGCACCCTGCCTTACGACAGACAGGTAGAAAACAGGTTTCCACGTCTGTCGTGGTGGACGGGGTGAGCATGCAGATATCTATATATATATACCTATCTCTCTATATATATATATATATAGATATAGAATTATGCGTATAAGGTCATTGGGAAACCCATTTTAAGCAACACTGTGTTCGTCAAACCTTCCCGTCACAGGCCAGCCGTGGTGCCATCTGAACGCTTCTCATGGGAGCGGAGAAGAACCTTCAGCTTGTTCACTTTCAGAAACTCCTGCGCAGTGCTGAAGGCATATGAGACATATGAGGTGTCATGTTAAGCTGGATGTGGCTTTTGACTGGGTGCCGTGAGGTGAAGGGCAGAAAGAATGTGACGCAAGCATGGCGGGTGAGAGGCGCGGGAGATATGCAGACGTGATTCCACGTGCAATCAGCGGTGCAGGGCTCTGCAAATAACTCCACCACACGCGTACACACCCACAAAGAAAATTCGAAGCCTGAAGCCTATCCCCTAGGGTCCTGTGTCACCTTACCTCGGTTCAAACGTCGTTTCAGAAAGCTGCCTTGACAAGCTCTGACAAGAAGCCTCCTTCTCAGAGTTCTCATCCAAGGCACTATCAAAAAAGGCACCAGCCCCCCTTTTGGAGGGCCCACGCTGGGAGGGCTTCATCACGGGATCCTTGGTGAGGTGTTCAGCTTCCAGGATGGATTGCCAGAGCGTTTTGCTCACGTTTGCGCCGGTTTGCGGGTGCCGGTATCCGCCAAGCATCACTCCAGAGCAAAGCGACGAAGATTCGGTATTGGCGCTGGCGCTGCCGCTCTTTCCTGATGGCAGGAGCTCCCAAGTGACTCAGACCGGAAGCTACGGGCCTCAACCAGTCAACAACTCGCCAGGACCAACATCTACATGACCCAAGGTGTAGCAGTGGATGGGAGCACATATGCCTTATTCTCTGACATGAGTGTCCTGCGATGCTGGAAAGAACCACCATTTGTCCACTACTGCTTTAAACAGTCGGTCGTTCGATGTTTAGTCTTCTTGTGGTGAGACATGGCAATGATCGAATGTAAAATCCATGGCTTTGTTCGGTGCGCAGGGGCTCTTGGAATCCGAGCCAGTGGCATAAACCCAAGACGCACTCACAAATCCAAAGGGAGATTTTTGGTGCACTGCAACTCGCTGCGTTCCTAGCGGTCTTTCACGCGTTTTGCTGGAACGTCGCAGCCAAGACCCGGAAGTGCAAAGTGCACAACACTGAAGAGCCGAGATGCTCCGAAGTGTAGACGATTTCCTCAGTGCAGAATTCACGTTGCCTTGCCATGCTTACCTTGGGCTCCAAGTGAAGAAACTGTGAGCCGAGATCCTGATAGACCCCTGCATGTTGAGCGCACTGGATCCCAAAGTCAAGGCATTGTCCATTCCGTGATACGATTTGTGGCACAGTCGCAGACTGGCTCAGCCCCTCACGCGGAGGGCCACACACGTATGCATAGTTTTGAGTTTCTCAAGATCAAACCGCAGTTGCCCCTCAAGGCAACCAAGGCAACAAGAATCTTGATGTCCATTCCCAACAAGAGTTCTTTTGGCCTCTGAATTCCCCCCGGTTCCAGTTGCTTTCCCAGCTTCCACGTCCTCCTCGAGCTCGGGTGCCCCAGAGATCTTCCTCGGAGCACACTTGTGAGGCTCAGAGGCTACATGGGGACATTCCGGACATACCGGCATACCCGTGAGTGCTTGCCCTCGACCAGCTCCGTTTCTATTACGGGAGCCAGAAAGGTCAATATGATCCCAACCCTGAAGACAAAAAGACAAGAGAGAAGCCGGTGAGCCCGGGGCCACTGCAGGACACTGGTACACCTAACCCTTGAAGGCCAACAAAAACACAGAGCCCTTCGTAGCTCACAGGTCCGGGCTTCACAACGACCTCGTCTTGCGAACCGCCACCCATGAAGCGGCAGATTGCCTTGCGTTTGCGCCGACGTCGCTTCGACACTGGTGATTTGCAACGGTAGCTATCCGCCATGACGTTGCCCATGGCTATTATGGCCAACCGATACATGAAATTTTCAGAATGGCCTGCCGGCATCCTTGGTACACAGAAAAGCTGCCCACATGACGAAGCGACTAAGCCCAGTGTGCGAACTTTTGCTCAATGGCACGAAGACTGGTTGAACAGTTTCGAGCAGGAGTGTGCAGAGAGCCTGGTTTTTGTGATCGCAAACTCCATCATCTCACGTCTACAGTACCTTTCTGCCTACTTTGTGCAACCAAACTGGGCGAAGGCTTCGGGGGGATCACTGATCACGACCAGATTTCGAGCAGTTCACACGAACCTCCCGAAGTTGTCCTCGAACCAGAAGCCTGATGCTGGAAGCCTTGCCCCGGGATCTGGCATCCCTGAATCGTTTACGCGTGGGCTCTATGCTCACAGCCCCCAAAATCGTCTGAGCTGCATCGTTGGACTTTCTCACCCGTTCGCAGAGCCGGCCTCCAAGCATGTGGTGCTGGGCCGTAGGAACTTGGGCTATTAGCGCAAGGCAGCGCTCACATCTGGGCGGTTGTCAGAATTATGGCCCGTTTTTGGGGTACCCTAAATATGAGGTGCCGTATTGTAATAGGGATCCAAAAGGGACCATAATTTTGACAACCACCCATATGGTGATGATATGTTCTCAGGATCGGCTCCTGAGACTATTGGGCCCCGATCTGCACAAGGGTGAGAAGAGGGCCGAAAGGATGTCGTGGCTCTTTGCATGCAACTGTTTTCATAGCTATATACATCAGGACTGTATTCCGGTATGAGGGCCGCCCCATCCTTCACAAAGCAGTTGAACTTGCGTTCTCGCGGGAGAGGTTAGGGGTGAGGTTCGCAGTTGGGGTGCCGAAGCCCTTCGGTAACACCTCCACGAAGCTCCTCTTCTTTACCAAAGGAGCCCCCCCCCCCCCCTCTGAACGCAGAACCTCGTGTCTGATGGGAATATTCTCACTTGATGAGAAGGTGCCCCAATATTGGCAAGTAGGACATCTACAAGCACCCTGATTGGTCCCCATGCGGTATCCGTTTCACAGCCGCCGCCGGAAAACCTAAATTTGCAGCCGGAGCCCTGAAGTTTCAACCCCCTTTCACACGGCAATCTTCATCAATTATTGCAACAGTTTGTTTTTTTCATCGAGTTCCCCGCAACTTCCGGCCTTTGCTGCCCTTGAAGACTTTCTCGCCATCTTTCCCGTTGAGGTCCTGCAACGAGCGCAGAATTAACTCGTGCCCCAATGGTTTTGCAACTTCTGGTGCTACTTGTGGAACACTGCCCTACGAGACAGAAAGCATTTACCAGAACAACAGTTCATCCTGGCAGGCTGATTTGGTACCACTCCTTTTGACAGCAAAGTGAGGTGAATTTCCATGAAGGAGTAAGACAGTTGCAAGCCGAAGCCAACGAACGCTGAGGGGATGCTCTGCCCTAAGCCTTACTGGTAAACGCGAGGTTGCCACCAAACCATGGTGAAAACAAGTCCATATCGATCCCCCACCACACCCTTGAAGAAGGTGAACTGCTCAAAGTCCCGGGAATCTTTGGGCAGAATCAACAGGATATGGGTCTCGTACTAAATCGCTCTGAAAAGCCAAATCAGCCTGCTTTGAGTGCCTGTACAGCGAAGCCTCTGGCACCCTACTGCGCCCCCTCGCCCCCCGAACTCCGGCCCACAATCTGCATATGCTTGGACACTGCATGCCTTCTTTGCAATCACTTTCTGGCCCTTTGGGTACCTTAGCACATCTCAAGCGGATGCGTGACTGCAGCAACGTCTGTGCACAACCGTGAGCATGAGAACATAAATACGCTCCACCCTGAAATCTGGAAAGCAGGTTCGAGTAGCGTAGGAGTCTAGCAGCCTAGCACACATCTATTCCAACCTTGACATGAGCTGTCACACAATCCAGAAACTGCGGTGGGTTCGGTGGCAGTAGGCCTGCGAATGCGAAATGGGTGACTCCTCTTGGGTCGTGTTGTTTAGGATTTACATACTGTCTGTTTAACAATTTTTTGACTCTCACACGTGCAGGTGTGGGCGAGGATCCAGCGAGTTAGGGACTTAGGATTGTTAGCTCTTTGCCCAGCCACCCCATGAGAGCGCAGTGCTTGATTGGAACATCGTGACGCCTGCGTAGGTTTGGGAGGGCTTGGGGCCTGGAGCCCCCGAGCTTGTGAAAGCAAACTGTCTTTCAGGCTGATGTCTGTGCAAAGCCGTGGCAAACACGAGCACACGCAAAGCAGGAACACATGTTGCCTGTGGTGTAAGGTTTACCTGGAACAGTGCCCCATGCATCACCACTCAGGTGTCCGTACACTTCTGCGCCGCATGCTCCCAGGCCTGTCAATCGAGTTGATGTCGGACAAAGTGACGATTGGGTCCATCGGTAGCCCGCCGTGGACAACAAATACCTACCGGACCAGATTCATGGGCCAGGTCAGCTGGCATACGCTCGACCGTATCTAGAAACAGAGGCAGAGAACTTGTCAGGGTAGATTCGGGATTTGTGAGTAAACCAGCTAAGAACCTCTCTGCGCACTGTTTTTCAAGATGCATGCTTCAAGAAATACAGAAGCCAGGCAGGTGCCCGAACGAGCATGTAAGCGGGACGCTTCGTCACGCTCTTCTTTCTTCACAGCAGAGTTCACTACGCGTTTTTCAGTGCATCCCCTAAACCCTAAACCCCCTCTCCAGCCTCGCCCCCGATCACGTGGCATAAAGGCAACCTTCAGCTCTCTGGGAGCTGAGAGAGTCTTACATGCGGCTCGCCCTACTTTTGGGGATGTTCGAGAGTTCGAGGCCCATGTGCCGATGTCAGATGTTGGGTCATGTGGGTCACAGGAGAGGCAGCTGGGCCCCTACAAAGAAAAAGCAGCAACTTAGCCTGAAGCCACCAGCGCCTTAGCTCTTACGAACCTCAAGCCTCAACTCTGAAGCCCGAAGAGACACCTTCGATCCGCTTGACGCGCGGCAATGCCTACGACATAACTGAAGCCAGGAGGCTCTTTGAAACTTCTCCTGCAAAGGTGATACCTGGAACCAGGCAGACAACCTATCATGCGCCCGAAGGCTCCGAGAACCAGCTGCCAGTGGATGGAAGGTTTCAGTAAGTGGGAGATTGGGGGGCAATTTGCCAAAGTTGGGCATACTGTGCGCACACAGGGCCAGCCCTGAAACCCCGTAAGCTTTTCTTGAATGCTTCAGATGGGGAAGGATTTTAACTGGTCGGACGGCTGCCCTATGACCGGAGGAGCCACGACTAAACCATCCAAATCCAAACCCACGTCGTGCAAACATGTGGAGCCTCGCTCTCACGGGTAAGAGCAAAGACTTGATTTGGGGGGGTCTGCGAATTTATCTGCCCTGAGGCTAGGACGTGTTTGCTACTCATTCCTCTTGCTTCCAGTGAAGCACAGGCCAAGGAGCATGGTCACCGCCTCACCCCCAAACGCTCGAGTGCAGTGGGAATGGACGAAGCCATTGTCCGGCCTTTGATGTCGACCAAACGAATTTCTAGGCAGCTATTGAAGGGGTATCAGGATGTGAAGCCTTAAGCAGTCTCTTGTCGCGGAGGCTCAGGGGTTGTGGTGCTTGTGTGTCGACTTTCAACATGGTCGTCTGGCCAATGCGATGCCGCACGCGGGGGTGCAGCCCGACAACATGCACAGTGAGCCAGCAGTGCAATATGAAACAAAAATATGAAGCGAAGCTCTGCTCACTCCGTTCAGGTGACACAGATCCCTGCATCCCTCCCCCCCCCCCCCCCCAAAAGAAAAAAAAACACAAATAAGTAAATCACATCAACAAACATAAAAACAAAAACAAAAAAGAGAGGCTTAGATCCCCCTGAAAGCTTCTCAACTCCAGGGTGCAGCTGGTTCTGGGACTGATCCTCGTGATTTCCACGGTTCAGGAAAACCTGGAAGGCTTGAGGGGGGGATCTTCGGGGGCAAACGGGTCTTCGAAGCGTTTCTTCACTGGGACGAGAGGTACAACTAGGTAGGCTTCTCAATGGCTGCGTCATCATGGGCACACTCTCCTTTATTGTTCCAAATGTTATCCGATGTTGCCAGGATTCACCAACCTGGGACTACGGTTATGGTAACAATTCCCATCCTCAGGGCCAGCAAGGTCCAGGAGCAGTGGTGCCAAGCAGTCACGTTCTCACCAAGCGGCTGCTGTCGGGAACTTGATCTTCAGGGCGTAAAGCAGCAACAAGACCTGCCCGTGGCAACTGGTGAGATGGCAGGGATCCGTGCTTTGGGGCTTTGCGGGATTTGTTCGCTTGGCCAGCTTCCTCCACATACCCAAGGCTTAGGCCAGGCGCTCAAACGCTATACACGGCGCGCACACGCACGTGGGTCCTGGGACAAAGGCGGTTGCATCTTGCATCTTGTGCTTTCTGTGGAGCATGACGACGCAGTCAGGGGTTTGGGTATCGAGCTCTGCCCCGCCTCGGGTCCCCATGTGCCTCGATCGACGAAGTCGCCGTTGAAGAGGAATCGAATCTGAGTGATGATGTAACAGTCTTGGGTCACACCAACCCGAGCACAACCCGCTTCCAGAAGGCCAATCCCCAGTTGAGCGAGAAAGCCAAGTCGAGCCCAGCACCCACCCCACTTAACTTCTCAACTCTGAAGGCATGGAGGAACAAGATGGAACAAGTCCCAAAGGTCAGCGAAGGGGCGGCTCCCTTCGGGCCCGCAGAAGGCTCGCCGTGATCCTGCGAGTAGTTGGGAAAGCAATTGGGAGCGGCGCTGCATGTAAAGCTGGCTCTTGCACTTGGGATCGTTCAGGTCGCGAGGTGCTCCCGGCGTCTCTCCTCGAGGAGATGAATCAAGTCTCCAAAGTGACCATGCAAGTCCTCGGGACGGTGGGGCCTATTTCAGAGGAGGAAGAAGACCAAACCCTCAATGGCCAGGCAACAATAGGCCCGGTACGACCCTGCAGAATTGCCATGCCAGGCGACTTGAGGGCTATAGTTCTCAGGTGTACGGAGGCACAGACGTGGTACAGAGTTGGGCCAGGTTTATGGTTTGCAAGGGGCGGTCAGGCAGAGTTCCACGCCCTGATAGCACAAACCCTCAAGACACAAGGGCACACTGTGGCCACCGGCTACTCGCTTTGTTCCTCCACACACCTGCCTTTTCAACCCTTGAGCCCTGAAAGCTTTGTCGACCCAAGGTGCGCCCACGATGACAAAGCGCGACCCCACCTCTGGTGCCTGGTGCCGGCAGGAGAAAACACGGGGCTGCCCGAGGCTTTCGAAGTCTCCAAAGAAGTTTTTGGCGCCACGTGTCACCACAAAGTTTGCAGGCTGTCTTGACACCACAAGGAATTTCACGGGCAAGGGGGTTTCTTCGCAAGTTTCAAAGAATGCTGCCAAGGCACGGGCACGTGAATGACATTCGGCTGCGCAGCGTAATGCACGATGACCTCATCTGGCAACTTGTGACATGGGGGTCCAACATGCACAATGGTGCTACAATCTTTTCGTGACGAAGCTTAATATGAGCCAGCCATAGAATAGAGCACAGAATGTAGCACATTCTGCAGTTACATTCGACATCTACAGGTGAGAACTGCCCCTGGCACTTGGCCAGGGCAGATCGGGAGCTGTCACGCAACGCTTTTCCAGTGAAGCCGGCACTCTGCTACTCTGCCGTATCCTTGGCCGGAAGGTCCTCCTCCAAACCAGCTTCAACAGCTTTAACAATTTAGTTAACCAGGGTCGTTCTCCAGGTTTGTCCCAGGCGCACTTCGAAGAATCTTCTTGCAAACCTGGCAGGTGATGGTCGTGTCGTGTCGTGCCGTGACTGTAGAAGCCCTTTCGTGCCTCAAGGTTGGGCAGTCGCCTCTGCCGCAGGTCCTGAATGGCCTGGCATCTGCATGGTCTTGAGTCGGAGCTTGTTGCAAAGCTTATGAGAAGCAGCTTGGTGAGTGTGAGCGATGTTTGAAGAAACCGAAGAAGCTCACTACTGTCCATGGGGTATACGCCTTCAATCCAAGCTCGTACTCACCCCAATTTTGAAAGCATGCACAGGTAGTGGAGCTCACCAATAATTTTTGCGTCATGACAGGCTCCTTATTTATCTCGCGAAGCTGCGAAGTCTAGGCCTGCCTTGGTGACGTCCAGGGGAGGCAATCGCCAACTAGACTCATCGCGTGGATCCCACTCCTGCGGTTTTTAAAGGATCTGCGGTGTGTAGTAGGCAATATTAGCCACTGCTAGGCCACTGTCTTCTGCAGCCAGGTCGCACCCCGCCCTTAAACTCCTACTACTGCACATTCCGGCGAACTGCCGTATACTGGAATCTCGAAAAATGTTATGGTGGAGGTGGGCTAGTAGACATTGTGGGTCACTGTGGAAGTTGTTGCGCAAACAACCCGAAGCTCACAACAATGAACAATGCGGCCGCACAAAGAACCACACTGCCGCCGACTGCCGCATCCTCCTCATCCTCGTCAAGATCCGAGGCGACGGAGGAGAGATCATCCCCAACCTGGCGATCACTTCAAACAAGGCTCTTCTGAGGCCTTTGGGTTCAGGGTTTGGGGTTTAGGGTTTCTAGGGTTTAGGGTATGGGGATCGATTATAGAAGGGGCAAGAGAGGTTGCGGCCAAGAAAGAAGGACAAGGTTTCCAATGACTGAGGGATCCAGTTGCTTGTTCTTTAAGGCTCGGTTGCTGTGCTTCAGAGTGATATTGTTATACCGGCTGGGATTCAAAAAACATCATGCGCATGAGACTGAAACAGAGCACGGGGAGGACGTTTCGGATCGTAGCGCGACACTTACCTCGCCTCCCACGTGGAAACGTTCTCTTCTGCGAACCCCCTTCTTCGTCGAGGCATGGGCAATCGCAAGCCCAACAGCCCAGACTTGGATTTCTTCATCAACACAATTATACACAACTAACTCGAAGATGCTAGCCTGCTAGCCCCAAGCCCCAGCACGAACTTCTATGGCTTCTACGGCTCCCCTTCCCCCTGCGAAACCTCGGAATCCCGATCTGAAGCCATGGAGGAGTCGAACTCATCTTGCCTCAGCTCAGGAGCTGAGACTTGCCTTCTGACTCTGGCACCTTTGGCTTCACCCAAGAAGTAGGAGTACATACGTGTAGCATCACACCCTTGCAGGTCGTGAAGCCCGGCCACGTCAGGCCCGGCCGAAAAGCCAGCAACAGCTGCAGACGCTTTGTGCTCTGACTATCTTGGCCTGCTCTTCGAAGCATAGAGAATTTCCAAGCAGCTCGAAGAGCCAAGATTGGCTGTACAACGTCCCTGAGCCAACCCAAATGCTGCCTGGCCCTGGCCCCGAAATTAACCAAAGGCTTGTTTCAGAGATTCCTCAAGCAACAGCTTGTAGGTGTTGCACCGCTGCCTCCGTTGTTTTTCACAACCTCTCCTGAACTTCCCCTAACACTACATTCGCCGATTGGATGCATCTCCAGTAGGTCCAGGATGTGCATGAAGACCTCACAGGGGGTCACTGCGGTGGGGTTGACTGCTCTGGCACAGGCCTGGTTTTCCATGGCAGGGTTCTACTGTACCCGAAACCCAAATACGGAATACGGACATCTCGATTTTTTTTTGAGTACTCTGTGCGCATGTACACCTATTCCCACAAGACTCGGCCCTTATCAAAGCACGGACTGTCCTTCGAGGCCCACACGTCCCATTAAGACTGGTCTGGGAGCCACGAAACGTCGGCAAGCACTCGAAGTGCATGACAAGGCCTTGCAGGGCCTTGCAATGCCCTTTGGAAGACAACCCCTGAGCACAAGCCCTCACAAGCCCTCACAAGCCCCAGAAATCCCACCTCGTCCTCCGGCACGCCTTCGAAGTTTTCCAAGTTGACACCGCCCGTTGCTGTGGCCGCCCTCAAGCGGTTCCGCCGGAGCGGGCTCTGTGGGCCGACACCATTCCTAAGGATGTTGAAAGCTTCAGTCTTTGGGAGCTTTGGAAGACTTTAAAGGAGTCTCTCTGACTGGAATGATTTCCTTTAAGGTCCTTCTACGCCCGCTGTCTCAATATTCAGGACACGAGATCTCAAAACCCGAAGCCAAGGGACGCCCCCGTGGGACTCGTGCGGGTGCCATTTCCGGAGGTGTTGAAATTCGATGAGTTCTGGCTGATGTTCCTGCACAGGCTGGGGATGCACGTCGGGGGCACAATGTCGGATGAAGGCCAGCAGCAGCACGGGCACAGGGAAAGCCATGCTTTGGAAGGTTGGGCAACATGTGCTCAAACGTTTAGTGCTCAGGTGGCGAACTTGGAAGAATCGGACGTCCTTATGCCCCTCGTTGCCGCTCCATGATTGGGTTCCAATGTCAAACTACTATCTGCTTAAGAAACCCCCAAAATAAAACAACAATAATCCCTATATTACCCTTATAAGGAAGAACATTCTTTGTTGTCTTTTTTGGGGGGGGGGTGGCGGGTTCTAGTTAAGCAATTCGTAGTAGAAAACGGTGATGTTCCGTCGCTCCTGATCACAGCTCCGGCTGAATCCGAGCTGCTGCCTCGGAGGGTTCTGGCGGGCCCATGCTGCGTGGCCTACACGCTACTACCGACCGCAAGCAGCCAGAGGTCTCCAAGCTTCATAAACTGGCCTCCCAACACTTCGCAGGGTTTAGATACATGAAGCCTCACACCCCTGAGTGACTCCCATCAGTGCCAGGGTGCTATCCTTGCGATCCTTTTGCCGCGATGCCATGGCCGGAACTCCACCAGAAACCGGGAGTTCGGCTTACGGCGCGAGGCCAGGAGGCCAGGTGGGCAGTCGGGGAAACACCAGGACTTCAACAAGTCTCCAATCTGTTTTGTTCACATGCTGCAACTTGGGAGTCGCGTTTCTAGAAGGCTGCTTTGGAGCTCCTTGGAAGTCAGACATACCAGGTTACCACAGGGAGGGGGCCTTCCTTCCGAGCTGAGCCAACATCAGGAGCGCGCCTGGAGTGTTGAAAGACCTAGACCCTTAGGGCCCCAAGGAAGTTCTTCTGCTGCAATGGGTTCATTTCAATGAAGAAACTCCAGGAATAGGCACGAAGAGCTAGATCTCCGGCTATTGTTCTCTACGGCTGGTGCCCTGTTGGCGAGTCGGTGCATCAAGCATGCCGGTGATACTGTGCAAATATAAGCCGAGATGCTTAGTTTCAAGGACACGATCGTCTTTAGAGACTTCACATTGATGGCAAGATGTTTCCACAGACATCCACACTTAACTCGCGTGACCAACTAAGGAAAGGTATGTGCTGTTAGCTAAGACTCTTGAGTGAGCACAGCGCTGGGCTTCGCATGGGGGGACTTGGGTAAATTAGGCTTGAAGATTCTCCTCATGAGGACGACGTACGACCTTTGTGGCTAAGGTTTCCATTCTGAAGGAGACTCTGGCCGGATCCGTCGGCATCGCAGCTGATGAACTTCTCTCGAAAGTTGACGCGCTGCCTGGAAAGAGCGAGTGCCAGCGGCAGTTCAAAAGGGTCTGCATCGGCACCCATGCTACTACATTCAAGCTTCTGGTGCCGAGTTGTCGGAAATCCTACGAAGGATCCTTCTAGTTCACGCGGCCGCCACGACTTCCGCCATTCTGGGAACTATGAATACTATATATCGGATCGCGGGGAGACTGCGACCGTATCTTTGTTCTTTAAATGTAAAGCGGCCAGAATGCCAGCGCGCGGTTGCCAGCCTCCATGTTGCAAGGTCGCGCCGGCTGTCATCACTCCCCCTCTCTGCGAAGAAGCTCCCAAAGACAGGAAGATCGCACAGAGCCCTCTCCCTTCTCAAAAGAGCTGCCCCCCAGAAATATGTCTCAGGCCAGGGTTCTGTTTTTTGTGGGGAAAATGAGACAATGAAGTGGGTATCTCTGGATGAAACCAAGCGTTGGTGGCAGGTTTCAAGCAAATTGTGTTAACTGGTTTGGGGTGAAAGCTCGACACATTCCCTGTTTAGGCTCAGGGTGCAGAAGGGATGCTTGTCATCGTAATAGTCCACGATTTGCATGAACTCCTCCCTGCTTACCTGAGGAGAATCACTGCTTTGCGCGCACTGTTGCAAGACATGGTCAAGATGCTGCTGTGTGCTTGTGCATGTAGTCGCGGGGGGGGGGGGGGGGGGGAGGAGAGCCCGAGAGTGTCATGTCTGAACTTCTGGGTGCTCTCACGAATGTTTTAGGTCGTTCACGTCGCGTTTGATGCTTCATGGTGTAGAGCCGCGCAGATTCACGACTGCAAGAATTACAGACTACAGATGGCGGCAAAGGCTCTGTGGAGCCCTTGAAAAAACAATCTCGTCTAGCTTCCCTCTGCTTCGAAGCCTTCGAATGACGCTGCAAATGGCAGCCAAGAATCCCCGTTGAACATGGTGACCTGCTCGAAGGCATCCTGCGGACACTCGGGAAGGATGGAAGGTTTCGAAATTCTGAAGGCTTCGCGGCTTTCGGAGCTTCAGCATGTTTGGTCTCGAACCGTGATGACTGGCTGTACTGGGACTATGTGTGTATGGGCCTTGTTTCCGTTTTGTTGTTGCTTTCGTGGCCTGGGAGACCGTTAGTCCTTCATCAGACACAATCAGCTCTGGGCCCTCAGTTGAACATTCTTCCCGAGCACCTAGCTTTTGAGCGTTTAGGATTCAACTATGCACTTCCAGGCGATTGTCTGCCGTCCCCATATGCCAACGTACGGGATCTGTTCAAGAACTGCGCAATGTCACCGGGGGTGGGGTGGTGGGGTGGTGCTTTTGACAATCGCCAATCGTCACTACGCGTAAGACATCTGGTTGTGATGAACGTTTCCTGGCAGGCTCTGTTGTTATTGTTTTCAAGTCGCTAAGAGGTTCGCGGTCTGGAGTCTCTAGCATTCTTAAGAGGTCAGGTGCACCCTATGCCCCGATAGAGATACGCTTTTAGCGAGGCTTTATTTTCAGCAACTTATGCTTCCAGCCACTACCAGGTCCAGATCAAACCATCCAAAAGCTTGCCTCAAAACTATCTTTGGGTGCAGTGAACGAGTTCACTTTTGCAAACCCAGCCTCAACCCATTTCTTGTCCGGGCCGACGAAGCCTTGGGGTTCATCGTGGCGTTAGCCATGGATGGGGCTCCCAATACTTGTCTTCGTCCTTTTGTGCTTTGTCGTGCTGCTGCGGAGGGAGGGCGCCGGCTCACGCAGCATGTCCATGTATATGCAGGACCTACTTTTTTGCCACCTGCCTAGCAATTCTTCGACTCGGCTAGTTCTCTATGCGGACAGGATTTCAGCAGCACTTCCATCCCATGCTTGCATTAGGCTAGCACACACGAGCATCACATCTGACCACTCCCATGAGAACCGCTTCGGTAGTGTTTGCCCATCCCCCAGCCGAGATGTCTTCCATGAGTTTCAGCTGCCACATGTGCTGGAAGAATGCAGTGCTGAACCCCAATTGTTCTGTGATCACCTTTCACTTCCGGTTGTTTCACTGGTTGACAGTTTTCTCTCCCAGGCGTGTTCTAGCAACATGCCCCAGAACAGCTTCTGGAGAAGTCCCTATGCAGACCGGGTTGCCCTGAACAAGATGTTTGCAATGCATGAGAAGGTGCCAATTCGTTGAAGTGCCATGCAAACATCATCCCGATGGATGATGTTGTCCTTGGACAGGCGCCGGGTCTGCACAAAGAGCCAAAAACAGCACTCCAACAGTGCAGGAAAGGCACCCTCAGCTACCTTCAAGCCTGCGAAGCTGCGAAGGGCTCAGTTGTGCCCGGAAAGCCCTTGACACAAGGAAGTCTCTTTGGGAGCCTGGAGACATCACTCCCAACTGCTCCAAGCTCCATCCAAGCTGCATCCTCGAAGCGGTTCCATACAGACTGCAGACGCGCCATGTCCACACCTAAGACAGCGGGAGAGGCGGGGCTTATGCCAATGCTTAGAGTGCGAAGTCGCCGCACATGCTGCATTCCACATGCCATGTGCCATGTGCTGAAAGAAGAGTGTGCCTTTTGTGTGGTTTTTGTACCTTGCTGCAGGCATGACCTGGCCTGATAGGTGATGCGTCGACGGACTCCCAAACACTACGAGAAAAACACTGCGAGCTTGGAAGCTGGGCTCAAAGCACCTTACCCCGCCAACCTCAGCCAATGAGCCCTAAGCCCGAACGTGTGTTGAGAAGCACTGGGCTTCCGGGATTCTGAAGCAAGCGGCCACATTTCAAGGTGCTGAGCTCTTCCTCCGCTGCCTGCGATATAGGGTCGATGCAACATCCTTTTGGGTTTCTCGCGGATTGCATGATGTCTTTGGCAGGAGAGGTGCTAGGAGCGATGATTATCGGACTCACTCCCCTCAAAGGGGGTGATGCGACCTTGTGGGTGGGAGGTGGGGTAGGGTGGGGGCCATCTTCGTGCTGGCATTGGCCCTTTGACCCTTAAATTCTCAAACCATCTCAATAAACTCCCCAACCCTCCAGTACATGGCACCCAGCAGGGCTCCTCATCTGACGCGGAGCTCGGCGGGGTTGCCGCCTGCATCCCCCCAAGCCCCAAGCATCTCTTGCAAAAGCGCTGAAATATGGAGCCACCTCAGTGCTCTAGGAAAGTTGCACTCCACCTTGGTATCCGAAACTCCCTCCCCACAGTCCCCACAGCGTAGTGAGACACTCCGAAGCTTTCGAAAGAACCCTCCAGGGCCCCTCCTGGGCACTGCTGATCTCCTTCAGTTGACCTCTCAGCACACGGCACTGACTGTTCATACAGGATTTATACACTCTCTACGTCCTCAGACCCCGTCTGCGTTCCCAGCCAAGCAAAACAGACATCAAAACACACATCAAAAACACCTACTGATGATGCGATTTGGTGGCTGCGCACGGACTTGGCGATGGCATCCATGCCTCACGGCACTGGGGCTGTCCCTTCTCGGGTTCTCCATGACAAACACACCGGCTTCTGGCAAAGAATTCAATGCTGAAACTGCGAGCTGTCTGCCCGCCAGCAGCTCGATTCAACAGCACGTGAGGAGATGCAGGTTCGGAACGTCGGGGCATGCAGTCATTTAGGACATAACACCAAAAAAGCCCTTTGGCCTCTCGCAGACCCAGCTCGCGCAGGTGAGTCGGCACTCTCTCCTGTCTGGGCCTGTCATTAAGTTGTTGGCGTAGTGAAACAAGTTCTCATCGTTGAACAGTTGGTGAAGAAATTAAGAAATCAAGATGTGAAAAGGGAAGCCAAGGCCAAAACACAAAACAAACAGGACTGCTTGTGGGGTTGAGACAGGGTACAGGGAACAGGCCACACTTGAATCGGCCAGCCCAATGGGTGGACCCGAACTTTGCCAACACGAAACGCACGTACAACGGGAACCCTCCGCCATGGGCCACGCATTCGGGAAAAGACTCAATCAGCCCTGGCCTTGAGAAGCTTCGGCACGCCAACGCCATCCGTAAGGCTGCGGCGCTTGGTGGACTTGGCAAGAGCAGTTGCGGGCTTTCTTTTTTTAGCTGTGCTCATGTACCCGGATGCTGAAACTCCGCTCTCCAAGCAGGACGAGGTCGAGAAGAAAGGAGCATGGATTCAGAGCTTTAATAAGGGGGTTCCCGGGCGGGCTCGAATGGACCTCAAGCTCTCTGCAAGAATCTTGCAGGACTCGTAAACTAGAGATGGTGGTCGGCTTACCATACCAGCTTGATTGTTATACACTTAACAGCAACCTCTGCCAGGAACCGCAGCTGGGACGCGGTGGAGA